AGGGAGAGGTTTCCAAGCTGAGTCATGCTGGTTCAGGAATTCTGGGAGTTGAAGTCCACGAGTCATAAAAGAGCCAAGGTTGCCGACCCCTGGCCTAGGCCTAGGCTGCTTTATGACTCATGGACTTCAACTCCCAGAATTCCTGAGCCAGCATGGCTCAGCTTGGAAACCTCTCCCTTTGCCCTCAGCATGGCTGGCTCAGGAATTCTGGGAGTTGAAGTCCACCAGTCATAAAGGAGCCAAGGTTGCCTAGCCCTGGACTAGGAGAACCTCAAGTTGCAGGCTAATCTCCGGGGGGGGGGGGAATCACACCCCCATCAAAGTCTAAGCAGCACTCCCCCCTTCTCTCTCTCTCTCTCTCTCTCTCTCTCTCTCTCTCACACACACACACACACACACACACACAAAACCAGGCTTCGCAACTCAATGAATCTACTTACCACTTGTACTTACGAACTTCGTATTTGTACAGGTCGTCCGTCAGCCTGTATTTGTTCGCGCTGAAAGCCTTGTAACCTCCATGCGTATAGATGGACCCGGAGGGTGGGTCGTACACACTGCTGTGGCCATATCCTCCTTGCACCAGGGCTCCTCTGGTTTGTAAAATGCTCCAGGTGTTTGTGGCTAGGAGGGAAGGAAAGGCAGACGTGAAGCAGCTGCGCAGGAGTGTACTATACTACAGATTTATGACGGTCTCGGTGTCCCCCGGGTCGTGTGATCGTTCTGACAAGCAAGAAACTGGACAGCCACCTGTCTGAAAGGGTATAGGGTTTCCTGCCTGAGCAGGGGGTTGGACTAGATGACCTCCAAGGTCCCTTCCAACTTTATTATTATTATTATTATTAGATGTTCAACTGGGCAACGGATCCCACAATCCTCAGTCACGGCAATATTTGAGCTAACTGACTGAGGATCGTGCTACAGGTACTCCACAGCTTACAACACCTCATTTAGCGACCATTCCAAAGTTACAACAGCACTGAAAAAAGATACCTACGACCGTTTTCCACACTTACGACCGTTGCAGCATCCCCCGCGGTCACGTGACCAAAATTCGGCCACTTGGCAACTGACTCCTGTTTATGACGGTCGAAGTGTCCCCGGGGATCACATGATCCCCTTTTGCGACCTTTCCGACAAGCAAAGTCAATAGGGGAAGCCGGGTTCACTTAATGACCGTGTTACTCGCTTAACAACCGCAGCGATTCACTTAACAACGGTGGCCAGAAAGGGGGGGTAAAATGGGGCAAAATTCACTTAAGGGCTGTCTCGCTTAGCAACATGCGTTTTAAAAACGCAAGGGACCTTTTTTTTAATCCAGGCGGTCCTCGGCTTACGGCAACACTGAAGCCCAACACTTCTGTTGCTAAGCGAGGCAGTTAATAATAGTAATAAAGTCGGAAAGGGACCTTGGAGGTCATCTAGTCCAACCCCCTGCTCAGACAGGAAACTCTATATACCATTTCAGACAAATGGCTGTTGTTATGTGAATTTTGCCCCACTGTATGACTTTCTGAGCCACTGCTGTTAAGTGAATCACTACAGTTGTTAAGTTATAACACGACAGTTAAACGAATCTGGCTTCCACCGTTGACTTTGCTTGTCAGAATGATCCCACGAGCCCGGGACACCGAGACCGTCATAAATACGAGTCAGTTGCCAAGAGTCTGAATTTTCATCACGTGATCATGGCAGTTGTGAGCGTGAAACACTGAGTGTCTCTTTTTTCCAGTGCTGTTGAAACTCCGAACGGTCGCTAAATGAACTGCTTGAAGTCGAGGACTTAAAATTGCTACCCCTCCTTGTTTTCAAGTAAGTGTGGTTTCTCCATA